CTCAGCCTCACCTCCTGGCTCACACGAGTGACACGGGTAGATCTTGGTGGGATCAGGCGTTCCGCCAAGTATCGAGGAAATACAATTGAAACCATAAATACATCAGCAGTTCCAGTAATTATATACCTAGTAATTAGATACCCATCTGGAATAATAGACTGGACCCAAAATTAATTAGAAGAATTGGATCGAAAGACATGGAAATTAATAAGCATACATCATGCACTACATCCAAAAAATGATGTGGACAGATTAGATTTAAAACCATGAGGCCGTGGATTACTGCAAATACAGCAGGTAGCAAAGGGGAAAAAAGAAACCTAAATTATTATATCAGTACAAGTAGAGAAACATTACTTAAGGCGGCAAAAAGGGAGAATATTTTGAAAACAACAGAAACAAAGGCTCAATATAAGAAATAACAAATTGAAAATGAATTAAAGAGTTGAAAAAATAAACCACTACGTGGACAACACCTGAGAAATATTGATGGAAAGTATGATAATAATTCGAGATGGGTATAGCTAAAACTGGAGACCCTTAAGAAAGAAACAGAAGGCTTGATCATTGCTGCACAAGAACAAGCACCCCAAACCAATATGGTGAAAGCTAAAATCCAAGGAATTAGTGCTAATAGCAAGTGTGGACTCTGCCAAGAAAAGATGAAACTACGTCACACCCAAAGATTGCATAAACAGATTACAAAGATATGATAAAGTGGCAAAGTTAGTGCACTGGTTATCATGCAAAAAATATAACTTACCAGCCTCCAGAAATCCATGGGAACACCAGGTAAAAAAGGTGTCAGATAATGATGAAATCAATTTTGTGGGATTTCCATATCCAAAGTGACAGACATCTTGAACATAACACACCAGATGTAGTTATAGAATGAATAAATGTCTGGATCATTGACTTTGCAATTCCAGGGGATGCCAGAGTTGAAAATAAAGAATTGGAAAAACTAACAAAAAGAAAAATCTGGCAATCGAAACATTTTGCTTGTGGTCTCCATAGTCATCAGGGCTTTGGGAAAAATATCAAGAAATTTCACTCAGTATTATAAGCAGTTGCAGATCTCAGAAATAACACCATGAGAGCTTCGAAAAAGATCAATATTAGG